GATCTAAATTATGTATTCAAATCGATGTGTCCATTGAAACACATAGTTTTTCGAATACGGATTAAAGCGAAAAAGGGTGATCTCAAGGATGATATGTATTCGAAAAAATTAAAAATAAAATAAAATATGGGAAATGATAAAAACTTATCAACTTGGTACCAACTTTGGATACAATAAACAACTGTAATCGTCTGATTGCCTAGTAGTTTAATTGTTGTTAAGATTTCTACTGGGTGTGGGGCGCACACGTGTGCTTTTTTAAGAAGTTTTACTTCTATCGCGTGTACGGTGTTGCACTCGTGCTATTAAACTAATGATTTTTTCTCAAGTAGTGCTCAGTGGCAATTTACAGTATATTTTGCTTTGCTGCCCTCGTGCTTAAGTGCACATTTAAGATACCTACCCCAAAATGCGCATCAGCGGCATTATTTTTAAAATTTATAAGGAAACTGCTCCGATAGATGCATTCAACATACCTGCACATTAGCGATACCTGCCTAAAAAATATGCAACTATTATCAATTATCAAAGAAAGTATTACGTTAACCTGCACTGACCCTACAATTACCTAATTTTACAAGCTTTTATTTATTTTGCTCATGTCGCAGAACAACGAAAATTGCTATCAATTTATGTAGTTATATAGATAACAAGATACCATTCGAAAAAAATTTCGCTTGCATTATTTTCTACGTGGTAAGTGCTTCTCCATTATTTGGTTTCATAGGGATTCGGATAACTTCCTCATTGAAGTAGTAAAGAAAATTCGCTTAAGTGCCTTTTTCGGTTAGGTGCACAAGTTTTTCGTGCAAAGAAGGATGTGCAGCTAAGCAAAATAAACTGTATACATATGTATGTAAGTAGTAGCGGCACATTGGGTGAACTAAATGCATTCATACATACATATTTATGTACAACTATAGGTAAACACCAGGTAGGTTAAGTGCGGGTGATAAACCCATGTAGCATAGTTAAATCTGTGTACATACCTGCAATTCAAATGGGGAAGAATGTTACAATTTCGGCATGTGACTGAAAAAAACTCTAAAATACACACAAACTGTGGTTTCCAAGCCATGTACAAAGTGATTAGCACAGCTGCATTCTTCAACTTGTCAACTCGCGGAAAATTTCCCGATTTGCAGGGAATTTCGGTTTAAGTAGCAATCGGGGAATGGGCGATTTTTTTCGGGGAACTGGGTATGTTATTTTTATATCTTAAAGTAACCAAATTAGACGGATATGTTAATTTTTAACCATTTGACCCTTTTTGGATCGACATTTTTTCAATTTGAATAGCAATATCTCCACAACAAGAGTTTTCCCAGACATAAGCTATATACCAGATGAAAGTTAAGGTTTTGGGCTAGACTTGTGGAAACCTAGAATAAAATCGACTGACCAGTTTTTGAGAAAATGCCCCAAATCTCTATTTTCAGCAGCCCGATTTTTAGTTTTCAGGCGATAACGTTATGGCGTATTTATATTTTATAAACACAAAAGAAAGCGTTAGAAAGCTGGTTTGAAGACCCTTCTACTGATATCCACATCAATGACATGGACTGAGTAGTGCGGCCTCAGTGGTAGTTTAAAAAACTGCCTTTTTTCGAATTTCAGGCAGCAGCCACGCCCAACAGGCATACGAATCAAAACATCCT